TTATGTCTAAATTTCTTTCCCCTTTTCTCACACACACACATAGCACATTGGACTTCGTGACGGACATTCTGTTATTGTCTTTTGTGCATTTCTTGAAGACACTATCAGTATCAGTCACTTCCACTGCTTGCCTAACTAATACAAAACTATAGAATATTGGATGGACCAGGGACTCCGATGTGTTTTATTGTTCTTTGTTTGATTTTGCTTCACTTTCTAATCTGCTGTTGGCTGACAATACTGTAGGTTTTGTACATGCAACATTTCAACATTCCAAAAGTGTTGGATTTTTGGAGGAGCGCAGCTGATTTGCTTTTGCTGATAACTATGGTAGTGTCATAAGTTAGTTTTCTAGTTTTAGTTTAGAGCAAATTCCTCTGTAATTCTTCAAATTAACATAAAACAACAAAAATATCCATCGTCAGCCCATCAACTACTGGTGATCAGTCAAATTATTTTCTCATAAAAGGGGTTGAGAAGTGAGACAATATTCATCATTCACATGATGTTGCCCAGCAGAAATGACTTTCAGACATAGGAATAATATTGTGTATTTGTGAATGTAATCAATATCAATTAATGATCTGGGATAACACTTGGACATTTTATTTTTCAACATTTCTTTCAAAAATTGCTTCGTTCCCATACACCTCGAACTGAAAAGGTATTCTTTTACATAAATGCAAATCAATCTGTGACGCCCTTCGCGACAACAGCTGTTGTAATTTTGAGCTGTACAAAAATAAAATTATTTTAGATAAACTTTAAATCATGTTGTTGGTATAATTGTCAACGATGGGAAGCGGATTTATGTCTCAGTAAAGTAGTCTAATATTCAACTCCCATCCACCAGAGACTATTCTTTTATCAGACAAAAAACCTATCACAGCACAACACGAGCCGCCCAACGTATACATATGAGATTATCATACATGTTTGAATTTGAAATATTTATTCAACTGTGCTTTATCCATAAATTCATTGGTGATTTACTTGAAATGAGGTGTAAATCTACTGCTGCTTCCATTCTCCAAGTTGGTGATCTCTGTTACACAGTCTGCAAGTCCCCAATAACTGAGTGTGTATACAAACAACGTATGCGTATTCACTACTCTAGTGAGTACCACTATTCTGTTGCTCGCCTCTTTCTCCCCCACTGTCCATCTCTCATTCCCACTTGCACAGTCCACTCTTCTGTGTATTACAAACTCTCATTATTCCGCTCTCATTCTGTCTCTTCATGTGGCTCTCTTTACTATACACTTCTGACCCTCTCCTCCATCTTTTTTTCTGTTTCTCTCGCTTCATGGCCGACTTTGTCATTCTGCCCACTGCTCTGGTCAGCGGCCTCCACACATTACTCACTGCCTCGATCTCCTCTCTCTCACGCTGCTCTCGTTCTCTCCTCTTTTGTCTTTCCGTTCTGCAGGATTTCAAAACTCATGAAACTCGCAAAAGGTTTTCAGAGGCTGCGGCTGGACAGTATAAAAAAACTGGGGGATTCTGAATTTCAGGAAGTGAGGCTAATACATATATAAATATATGTATATATATATGTATATATATATATATATTACGTTTTAACAGTTTATACACTTTTTATAATTACTTTTCTTGTAAAATTCATACTATTCAAGATGTAAGCCTACTGATGGAAGTTCTGCCCACATTTACATATTACTTATCATTTAAGTCTTACTTTGGGGATTTTTCTGTAGAGTAAATTTGCAGAACAAGTAACTTCTCTGACTAATTTTGTATTCTTTATTTTCTATCCATGAATGTCTGTGTCAATATCAGACGATGATTGATATGTGCACTGTCCTTGCTGTAAAATAGGGATGTAGCAATTAAATCGATAAATTACAACCGATTGATTATTTTAAAAGTTGTCAACTAGCAAACTAATTTGCTAATTAGGAATAAGTTGAGAGTGCAGCTTAAAGAATGTCCAAATTTAGCAATATTTAAAAAAGGCTTTAAGGAAATGACATTTGTAAAATATCAAGAGGAAAATATGTCATAAAAATCTAGTATTGTTATTATTACTGAAGGGGTTGACTCTAAAATACCAGCTTGGGCTTTGGGATAGATGTGTTTTAGGGGCTGATGTTGCAGTGGTGGGTGTAGGTGCTGTCTCTCTGGCTGGGCCTTTGGCGTGGTAGGTGAGTACTATGGTGGGACTTGAGGTGTGGAGGAGACTGGCCGGCCTCACGGTAGCGTTCTTTGACGGTCTGGTGAGAGTGCTTTCTCTCATTCTGAATTGCAATTAAAACAAAAACAAAACTAAAAGCTCCCTTTGTCTAAAGGTAGAGTGAGGCAGTCACACGGGTGATAATCTGCTCTACTTAAAGTCAAGGAGTGAGACTGTTAATCTAATAAATTAAGAAAATCAAAATTGAATAAATTAAAATAAATTGAAAAGGAAATCAATACAATTTATTTTGCGCTCTCTACTAAAGGAGATATTGTGAAAATATGTTGTATTGTGTTGAGGTAAAACAAAACTGTTGATTGTGGCTCATGAAGCTGTTGGAAGGCTGTAGTGAGTGTTGGCCTCTCTCTCTCCTGTGCGGATGGTCTGCTGCTGTGGGTTTGCTTGGTGCGCCTGGGCCTGGTGGGAGATGGCAGTATCGAACTTACCGGTGCGCGTTGGCCACTGTGACACATTTGTTTCAAAGAAACATATATAATGTGTGTATGTATGTATATATATGTGTATGTGTATGTATATGTATATGTGTATATGTGTATATGTATGTGTGGATATATGTATGTATATATATGTGTGTATGTGTATGTATGTATATGTGTATGTGTGTATATGTATATATATATAAATATATTTGTGTATTTGTGTGTGTGTGTATGGTTACATATTTAAACATGACAAGAACAACTATAATATGTGTGTATGAATATTGTATATGTATGGCTATGTCTGTATTTATGTGTGGGCGGGTAGGTGCAACCGTATAAAGTGAATATAGGTATTGGGGGTGGGAGCCTATAAGTTTGACTTCTTCCCACTCCTGTTTGAGCTTTAACAGGAGTGAAAATAAATTAAAAGTGAAAATAAATAAAAATAATAAAAATAAAAATGTATATATACATTAATGTATGTATGTATGTATGTATGTAAATTTCTATCATGTATTGTATGTAATTGCTTTTAAATCTATAAATTGATTCCTGTTTATAAGCTTGAAATAAATCAAATCAAATCAAAAATCAAATCAAAAAACAATTAATCATTTTTTGAACAACACAGAAGCATGCTGTGAAGACGCTCTTTGAGAGCTGTAATTACGCAGAATAAAATTAAAATCCATCAACATATATATGATGTTCTCAAGTCAGATTTTGTATCTTTGTTTCTGTCAAAAACCCTATCGTGAGCCATACTAATTTGATATATTGAATGAACAACAAAGCCAACATCTTTGAGCCAACAAATCGATAATCAAACTAATTGCTAATTATTTATATTATTTATATATATATTTGTTCTATCTATCTGTATTATAAGTAAAGTATGTCACTTATGATCACCCTGCTTTTGGGTGTGGCATAAAGTACCGGTAAAACAAATATCATTGATTAACATTATTAGTATTTTTCAATATATTGCACTTCATATTCTCCATAGATTTGGTTAAGGGCACTGTTCTGAGTGCGACCCCTAACACGGCTTGTACTGTGTGGACCTTTTTCTATATCCCAATGGCTCACAAAAAAGTAATTCATCATTCATCCCCACTGCAACATCTATCACTGTTTTATTTTTACATCAGATTTGATATTGCTTATATTATTGAGCACGAGTCTGTGTAAGCCACGTTCAAGACAAATTTATCTTTTTTGAACAGACAAGTACAGTTCTACTCTATTCTAATCCATTATCTCTAATGTGATGTGTAATTTTTGTCATCATCTTTGCATCTGTCCTAAAACATTCCTAAATGGAAGGACAAACTACAAACTCTCTACGTGAAGATGGAAAAGTAGCTTAAACCTGGCCAAGGGTTACAACAATACAATGATAATAGGATGAATAAAAAGTGAATGCAGGGGAATTTAAAAGACTGTAAAATGTCATTGTTCTGCACATTGGAGTTAGCAATTATTGACTTAATGGACCCATTCACAGTGTGATAAAAGGGAAAAGGCAACTCATTAGTTTAACAGCACACCCTTATGGCTATAGGTTTACTCACACCACATTAAAACTGTGGCTTAAGTGGGACAAAGCCAGAGAGCGACATCAGGAAGAGAACGTGGTGACATTTTTATAGCTGCACCGGGTCACTTTAAAACCCACAATGACCCAAAAGGAGAGACGCAAAAAGAGAAGCAAACAGCAAAACTTAATATTATTATACTCAACAATGTGCTCAATTTAAAGTTGCTTTAACTTTACCTCAGAAATCAAAGAGAAAGAGGTATTATTTGTCACAGGACGAGGGCGATATCCCCATCTTTAAAGCTATGAGACATTGTCTTTATACACATGTCTAAATCTAGTGCCTAAATCTGTTTTAAAACTTGCTGTGGTAAACGTAATCCAACCTGGCACCTGTGCAGTATGCATGCTGTTTATCAGCCTTTTTAATGCCATGAGATAGATTATCTCAGATAAGATTTGTGGACGTTGAAATGTGTCTTTTGATCATAAGTACTGCATTTAATAGCTTGAACTTGAGCTCATGAAGAATGGGAGCAAGAGGATTTAGTGTAATCTTCAAAACAAAGATATTATTTTTTCACTTTTGTGTTAGATGTGCATATGCCATACACCATTTGTTCCATTCTTAAACCTCAGCTGAGATCTTTACACCTTTTGGACAGGTGATTGATTTTCGAATCTGCAGTTGGCCAATCAACAATTCTGTGAAGCCCCTTATGGTGAATACTGTTGTGACTTGGGTGATACCAAAACAAATGTAATTGACAGCTGTGGCAGTGTGGTTGTTATGGTTACCTGTTGATACTCCCAGCTGTCAGGCACAAAAAAGTTGTCCCTCATCGTCATGGTGAAGTCCAGCCGGGGGAGGGCGTGGCACACTCGCACCCATAGCGACGGGCTGTAGCTGGGTACTGTTGTCATGGCAGCCATTTTGGTCCTGCTCCCTCCTCCACCCTGCAGAGAAAATAATCTGTAAATCCCACTTTATTATGAACAAGTTCACATTGAGTACAACAGAATGACTTACATTAGACTGATGGATACTACATTAAAGCTGTAAACCCTGCACGACAATACATCTAACTACTTTGTGGCTCTCAAAACAGTTTGGTACCATCACTCCATGCATGTATTGGAGGTCTGACACATTTTCAGCTTTTTCAGAAAGAAAAGTGAAAGAGAGTTCAGCTCAAAGCATCAAATAGTGACTGACAAGGCTCGTTCAAAGAATGCAAAAGAAGTCTGATGTGTACAAACAATATTATGCTAACAGGACTTTCTATTGGGATAGAAACAAATAAAAAAATGTATGTGTAAAAGGTTAGGTAGCCCAGCTTTTACTTGCAAACTAATTTGCAATGTAATATATATAATATATTATATTTATTTTGTTTAAGACCAAACATTTGAGGCTCTTCTCTTCATATTTTAAAACACAGGAGTTAAACTCCCTGGAGGCAAAAACATAAACGCTGTATTTGATTTGTTCCAAACTAAACTAAACTAAACTAAACATGAGAAAAACATTGTACTACTATGGAACTTGGCATTGGTTACATGTATTCTTGTACTTGTTCTCATAAAAAAACTATTCCAATTGATCCTAAATGTGAAGTAATGGTGACGGGTTCATTCAGCAGTTCCTCAGCAGTTCCTCAGCAGCACACAGATGTGGGCACTGAGCCGAGGAAACGCTCTGCTTCGAAACCCCTTGGCTCTAGTGCAACACAAGCTGTACAATATATTTGATCAATCAATTAGTTGCAGCATTAAATAACTATCAAATAGCTATTATCTAACTGTTAGATGTCACTAAAGTATGAAAAGTGTGGAAATGAAAAATGGCAATTTTTAGAATATTGCTTAATTTGATGAACATTGATGTAAAAACTCAAAAAGTTGTGCAGCCAACTTCAATGTATGATGATGTATATTAGAGTCGCAATTATGAAACTTATAGTTTCAACACAACTATATACAGTATATATTTGTATTTATAGGGCCGCTATTCAACTTTTTTAGTTTGCCGTCTGCTTGTTGCTATGGAGTTTAGAATGTTAATAATAACAATATTTAACCAAGTGTTTTTCATGCAAAAAAAACCTCCGTTCACAAAGTGCGTGGCCTCTGCAGATATGACCTGATCTACGTCACTAGCTTTATTAACATTATTAAACAATTATCCAGCACATTAAAGCACTTTGAGTTATGTTATTGTGTGAAAGGCTCTTTATATATAAAGATTGCTCTTTTTTACAAGAAATTGAAAAAAAAGCTTGACTTATTGAGAAATTATCTTGATTTGATAAATCGAAAGAGCACAGTAGCGATCCTTTTTGTTCCATGAGAGAACATTTTTGTATTTTTCCTTTATAAATAAAACAAGACATTTTAATGTTTTCCTTTGGCAAACCTGCTTTTAATAGAGACAATGTGCTCAAACAAAGTTGATGGGTAGAAATATCACAACTTGATATTTGTCGTGCAGTCATATGTGTACACTATCAAGGATCCAAAAGAGAACATGAGCTCCGGACAATATTACTAATAAAATATTGTGATATTCTGGGGTGTTTTGACCACGTCTGGAGAAGGACAAGTGTTTCCTGGGTTGGGTGGGAGAGGCTGAAGTGCACAGTGTTGAGAAGGTAACAACAACTGCTTCGTAATGCTACATCACAATTTATGAGCTTCTATCAACCGAGGGCGCGAAGGCCATAATGTCGGAGTTACTTAAGCCAAGCTCAATATGGTGGGTGTAAATCAGGGCTCACAACTCACAGACAAGGTAAAAGGGTTCAATGTCTAAAGAAGCATTTTGACTCTGCCAAGGGGTTTAGCGACCGTCCCAGTGAGTGTGTTTGAGTGTTGCTCTATCTGTAGACAGGGCTGCGCAAACACTGTTGGATAGATTGAGGTGACGTGATGTGGTGGTGGAAGACCCCATTCTAATGTTGAGATAATCTGTGGCTCGCTCTATTATAGATTTAGTTTTGAAAATGTCTAAGTTAAAAAAACAATAATTACACACACTAAAAATATGATGAGTGACTGTTTGAGTGTTCAAAATTAGTTACATTTCAAATGTACAAAATGTCTTGCACTGACCAAGAGATAGAATGAAAACAATCATACTAGCTGCTAACTCTTCCCCTCGACAAGTTACATGTTCACCTGATCCTCTCACACATCATAAGCTAAGCAGGGTAGGGCCTGGTTAGTTCTGTGATGGAAGACCTCTGGGAACACCAGGTGCCGCTGTAAAGTGCCAGACAGTTGTTGTGTCCTTACATTAGACAGTTCACTCACATTAGCTAGTATGAGTCTGATTGGTGGTGGTTGGCCATCTATGACACGTATAGATTGGTTGTATTAACAAAAATATGCAATAGTCAGTAATTCTGTTGTTTAAGTGCATTTTGAAAGGTCTCATCCACACAAAGAACAGAAAATGCTGTGAAAAAGCAGTGGGTTGCTGTTTTCAAAGACATTGTTTTATCTTTAGACTACACATAATGGTTCAGTGTGGATGCTTATATGAGCCTAACATCTGTGGCCACTGCAGCTGCTTTGTGAATACAACATTATTCTACAGTGAATATGTGTGCCACTGTGTTCCAGAATAAAACTGGAACTTTGTGTTTAATGAAGGAACTGAAAGAGAAAGAGTTCATGTTTGTTTAAGCTGAGATTGGTGTAAAAGCTGAACTTTATCAGTCATTTGTATAGCTTTCAATGCCTATTATAGCCACTATTAAACTCTTAAACTCTGAGAAACTCTTAAAGTCTGAGACACTCTTAAAGTTGCAAAGTTAAGAAAAAATATATGGTAACAAATGCATGCATCAAATATTTTGTATATTCTTATTGAATTACCAATAGAACAAACAGCTTTCGTCAGGCAGGAGCCTTTTTTCCTTATTCCTAGTGACAATTTTCTTGTCTCTCTGACTTTTTAGTTTTTGTATTTTTTTGCAGTGTGACAATTAGGTATTTTGCAGAGATTTTACTGTTGTCCTTTAATAATCCCCTCTTCCATAAATTGTATAATGTGCATTCATATTACCATGGCAACAGTTGAAAGCATTGCCTGAAACTTATGAAAGAAAATGTAGATAAATCAATTCATTTTTTTTGCCATGACGCTAAGCTTTCCAGCTGACCTGCAGAACATGACCTTAAGAAAAAAGTTTATATTTACTCGAATTTCACAAAATGTTTGTATTTGGACAATCTTGAAATTAGATTTTCAATTTTTATCATTCCATGTGATAAATGTCATGTCTTACTTCTATTTTAGGTAAAAAATATGTTTCTAAGATTTGATGTTTTTAAAGAAAAATCTTCTCATGCTCGAATGAAAAAGTATTTAACATTTACAAACTTATTTTTTTCTTCAATTTTTTTGCATTGCATTGGCCTTCTCTGTGCGAGGGTGCTGGCACAGCTCTAGTTCCCCACAGGGCAGACAGCACCACTCTAAGCCCATTATAACAGTCCTGTTCATCGCCATGGCGCCAGCAACTGTCACAAAGCAAATCAGAGCCGGCACTGCATTTGCGTATTAAAGTCTAGATGAACAAAGTTATTCACGCTGACGGATAGGCATAAACTTGACATAAATGGTATATATTTTGTGTATATACCATATATATGTAGGGTTTCTTGAGTATCAAACAGGATATTCCATTCGATAATCACAAATATTGTCTTTTTTTTGTTTATCAATGAAATGAAGCTCAAGCCTATGTTCAGACTGGTATGCTCTGCTCTCCTGCATGGACGACCATAGCGGCCTTCTCTCCAGTCCTCTCCCCCTACTGCACACATTCATACTCCACACCTGTGCTACAATCAGTCTGCATTTAAACAGTGCCTTGCTGCATCAAACAGCCTAAGCTTGTGTCACAACCTTCCTCCTCCCCATTACCACCTCTCCCCATTGGGACTTTTGTCATTGGCTCATCACTTTCTTACAGCTTCCCCCACCAGGGTCTAGACTTTGGTGGATTTAAATTTCATATTCTCATTTACCTCCTGCATATGTCATGCTGCTGGTGTCTAGGCACCAAAAGCAAGTCCCCACATGCCATGTACCAGCATATGTCAACAACATTCATATGCCTGCCAGCTCATGCAGCAACCAATTTACTCCACATTTAGAGATATACGTATGTAATTTGTCAGCTTGCAGACAAACACTATATCATAGTTGTCGTAGTAACAGTTGTAGTTGTCATTATGAAGTCCTTAAACATAATTTATTCCCTTATTTGGGTTAGTAAAGGCAAAAGGTGTTGCTGCATGTTGATTACTCGACGGATACAAAAGGCTGACACATGCCGAAATAGCATTCATGTGAACAAATTGGCAAAGGTAGCTGGGGCAGAACATTCAAAATAATATTTTTAAAGAAGGGAAAACTAGTAATAATGGCCCAGTAATTTAAAGTTTAGGATGAGAAACCAAATATAATGTAATCTATGGGAAACCACTGCTCATGTTACAGTATTGTAAGAACAACTTAAAGAGTAAATAGCCAACTTCTAATCATTAGTTTATACGACAACAATACAAGGACAACAAGCAATATTTACTGTCAACATGGTTAGTAATCATTATTTTGTAATTATGTTTGGTGCCATCATCATTATGCAATTGCTATTACATAATTTGATATCAATCATTTTGAACTGGAACAAAAATGTGTGGTATAGGTCTGAGAAACTATATCTATATCCAAGGCTTTTTATGCAATAAACTTGCACAAAAAGCTCAATTAGTGAAATAAGTAATTAAGGCTCAAACCAATCAAAAATGTGAAAAATACACGTTTGTTAATATCTATAACTAGGGAAGTACAATTAGAATTAGAATTTATTCTATACAACTACCTTGAGCCATTGAAAGGATTTGTACATATCCATGTGACTAATCTATGTAGTCACTGTAAAACCTGCCATTCTACTTTCCAATGCATGACTATATGTTTCATTGCAACGTGGCAGCTGCATTAAAGAAAGGTGAGGGCAGCCTGTCATCATTGAGCGCATATCAGAGCTTTTACGAGTCTTCGGACGCATAACTTGACTGTGAAAAATGCGGCATTATTTCTGGGCAAATAACCATTGTTCAGATAAGAGCACGTCACAGGCACATATCACCCACAGCCTCCTCCTCCATATGACACAGATAATAAAGAAATCATTAGGTGCAATGAAACCATTACAACATCATTGAGATGCTCGCTATGTCCACACACACAATCGCTGAGGATGTGCATAAATCTGCACACATTCACTGCCCTCATTTACTGAAACAGGCACAATGCATTCAAACGCTGCATACCAGTGCACACAGGGCTTAATTGCATTGTGCATCAGATCTGCTCAGATGCATTCACGCCATTGCATATCAAAGCCATTTAAATATGACAGAACAACAATGCATGTTTACCTCTAATGGCAGTTAGGAGGGTCTGCTCTCCGGTCTCTGCTCCTCTCCTGTGTCCGCGGAATATGTACCCACTCAAAGAGGTATACTGCCAGCCATCAGCGCTAGGTGCTCTTGAAAAAACATCCTCCTGAAAAAAATGGCTTGGAGACAAGCCGAAAAAAATGTCAAAACAAAAATAAAACCAAGGCTGTAATTCTTGTACTTAGAGGAATATTAAAAAGCCAATAACTGTCTAGTGTCTGGTGACAGTGAGAGGTGCTTGTGGTGATGGATGAGAGAGAGCGGCTCTCACAGTGAGCCAAAGAGAGAGAGAGGGAGAGGAAGAGGGATTAAGATTGAGGAGACACCCCTAAGGGACTTTTTATCGCTGCATTGTAGCCTTTCCTAGATTAACAACAAGCAACTTCACAAACAACATGACATAAACACAATATCCACTGAACATAATGACTGTTAACAGGGATTACCTGCTGCTAATATCACTGACTCCCCACACTTTTGATGTCAACCCCAGCAACATCCACTCACACTCCCACCAACCATCAGCCAATCTCTGCACAGAGCAACTCCTTGCCAGATTATGCAGCCCTAAAAATAAAAATATTTTCACTATGATAAAAATAGGCAAAAAGAAAAAAATTCACTCACGTGATGAATGCAAAACGATATGTCTAGCCCAAATATCACACAGTCTGGTGTGATGTGCAAGAGCTATGTGAGGAAGTAGAGATGCACATAAAAGCAGAGTAACACAGGCGAATACGTGCACATGGATGAATATGGGGAGGGGGCGATACAGGCAAAGGCAACGTGAAATACTTGGGAGAAAAAAAGTGGGTTCCCAGGGAGTGATGCTGAGAGCCGAGGAGGGGAGGGGGCGAGAGATGGGCGAGCGAACAATGAATAGAGAAGGCATGCAGTGGATTGGTAGGCAAAACCAGTTTCAGTCAAGGCTGCAGCAAAGCATCAAACACTAATTCAAAGGCAGCGAGGCATGAAAAATGGAACAACAAAATGATGAGAGCAGATGGGAACGCACTAGTGGAGTTGTCCTAAGCAATTTGACAGACAGTTGCCAAGATGGACGTTTAATTACAAAATGACAGAAGAGTAAATAGTATGGCATTTGACCATCTTGTTAAAAAGCGGGCACAGGCGAAAAGAGGCGAGGGAGGGGGCGGCGTAAGCGTTTCTGTGTCACTGAAAGAGAGTGGGGGAAGGGAGACGCGGCGAGATAATGCAAGCGAGGGAGCAAACTGACTCATATGGCCTATGTATAGTGACTGTGTATCTGAGGAAGACAGAAAATGATGCTACATGATGTCGATTTGTGTTTTTTTTTACTTTTGCTTTCATCACTATCATTACTTATTATTCCTCAACTCATTGTTGACTCACTAACTTGATAACTCTCATTATTCATTTGTGTCTTATTTAATTGGTCACCATACCAACTGGTGCACTGCAAAAAAATGATAAAAATAAGTTCATAATTACATGATTTTGACAACATTTGTCCTTATTTGTCTTTATTTTGACTGTCCTTAAACAAGATCGGTCAATAAGCTGCTCTAGTTATATCTCATGCACAGAATTATTTCCCCCGAATTTAAAGTACTGTAAACCTTGCAGGCTTGTTCTATTGGCAAATCATGTTTTAAGACAGTCAAGATATGCAAGACAAGGTAAACTGTTAAGTTATTAAATGTAAGTTTTGCACTGGAATGACTGAGCAAAAAAAAAAAACACTTTTGTAACACAAAAAATCCAGTCCCCACTTGTTTGATCTGTCTAGCTTCCATCTAGTCAAGATTATGTCCACTGATTTTGTACTGTGGCTGTTGCTGAATGTTCTACCCCTTTGTGCCATCTTGCAGAATAAAATAAAGAGAGAGAATAGATAGAGAAACAATATAATCATGTTACATATGGATGAGAAGCATTATCAGGAGCTGTGTCAGGTCACACTACATGGAGGTCGCTTAACAGGGAAAAGATCAGTCACAACGCTTTTAAAATCACCAAATCAATATTTAATGACGGCTGGATCTATTTCATTATAAAGTCATGATTCTTCTTGAGCAGCACGTGACTAAAACAGGTACTAACATAAAATTATGAACAGTCAAACAGAGGCAGCTAATTAAATGGCAACTGTAAAATAAATATTGTAAAAAAGCAAGACAGTTCAAAATCAAATATAGTGTTCATTTTTGTATTGTCTTTTCCCCATCTTTTGTTGAAACTTCCTATTTAAATAATACATATTTAGATGTACAATTACACAAGATCATATTATTACAACAGTTTTGGTGTCAGCTTATAAAGTATATAGGCTTGTCAAAAAAAATATTATACCCTAACCCTAACCCAACTGATCTTTCAATAAATAATATCACAGTACATTTTAAGGCAAGGCAAGGCAAGTTTATTTGTATAGCACAATTCATACACAAGGCAACTCAAAGTGCTGAACAAGATAGCATTAAAATCATAAATAATCACAGAACATTAAAAGGAAAGATAAAAATATAAAATCCCTCAGTTGTATGCACAGCTAAACAGCACCGTTTTTAACCTGGTTTTAAACATTGTCAGAGAGGAGGCCTGTCTCACATCTTCAGGAAGATTGTTCCAGATTTTAGCAGCATGAATCTGAAAAGCAGTCTCCCCATGTTTAGTTCTGACTCTGGACACTAACAGGAGTCCAGTCCCTGTGCTCCTCAGAGTCCGGGCTGGTTCATAGGGGACTAACATGTCACTAATATATTTTGGTGCGAGGCCATGGAGAGATTTGTACACAAGCAGAGCTGTTTTAAAGTCTATTCTCTGAGCCACAGGAAGCCAGTGCAGAGACCTGAGGACCGGACTAATATGGTCGTACTTCCTGGTTCTAGTCAGGACTCGAGCTGCTGCATTTTGAATGTACTGCAGCTGTTTTACAGCCTGTTTGGACAGACCTGTGAGCAGGCCATTGCAGTAGTCTAACCTACTGGAGACAAATGCATGGATAAGAATCTCCAAGTCTGCTTTAGACACTATGTTTTTGATCCTGGCAATGTTTTTTAGATGGTAAAAAGCTGCTGATGTTACTGATTTGATGTGGCTATTAAAATTTAAGTCTGAGTCCAGTATTACCCCTAGATTTCTGACCTTGTTTGAAGGTTTAAGGGAGAGAGACTGTAGATGACAGATGACGCTCTCTCTTTGTTTCTGGGGACCAAAGACAATCATTTCAGTTTTGTCTGCGTTTAGCTGAAGGAAGTTGTTTTGCATCCACTCACTGATCTGTTGGATACAGTTGAAGGAGTGAGTCCACTGGTCCATGTTCTCCTGCAGTCAGTGAGACATAGATCTGAGTGTCGTCTGCATAGTTGTGATAGGACACTTTGTTTCTGCGTATTAACTGACCTAACGGCAGCATGTAGAGATTGAACAGAAGAGGTCCCAGGATCGACCCCTGTGGGACTCCACAGGTCAGGGCCATATGATCTGAGACACAGTTTCCAATCTCCACAAAGTACTTCCTGTCTTCAAGGTAAGACCTAAACCAACTTAGGGCGGTGCCAGTGACGCCAACCCAGTCCTCTAGTCTCTGTAAGAGGATCTCATGGTCGACGGTGTCAAAGGCAGCACTTAGATCTAACAAGATTAAGATTGAGACTTTGCCTGCGTCAGTGTTCAGCCGGATATCGTTTGTAACCTTAACGAGAGCAGTCTCAGTGCTGTGGTGGGGTCTAAAGCCGGACTGAAACATATCAAATGAGTTGTTGATTATAAGAAATCTAGTAAGCTGTAGGTAGACAACTTTCTCAAGGACTTTCCCCATAAATGGCAGATTTGAGATGGGACGATAGTTGTTAAGTACCGTAGCATCGAGACTGCTCTTTTTTAGCAGGGGCCTGATGACTGCAGTTTTCAGGGCCTTTGGGAATATTCCAGAATGAAGGGACATGTTTACTATCTGTGTAAGTGAAGGTAACAGAATGCTCAGAACAGACTTCAGAAATCTAGTGGGTAGTACATCCAAGCTGCATGTGGAGGAGCTCAAACTGGAGATTATCTCTTGGACAGTTTTATCATTTACAGGTGCAAAGTGAGTTAGCTCAGAGAGCCTTTCTGGCTGTTGGATTGTTATCTGTGGATTGGAGACCTTGAACCTTGTCATTGAAAAAATGTGCAAACTCATTGCATTTGCGTTTGGAAGTTAGCTCTAATGGCATTTGAACAGGGGGGTTTGTTAATCTATTAACTGTTGAGAACAGAACACGCAGATTGTTGCTGCAGCCTTCAATCATTTCAGAAAAATACCTTTCTCTCGTACTACGTAGCACCCGGTTAAACTCGCACAACTTATCTTTGAAGATCTCGTAATCTACCTGGAGGTTGGACTTGCGCAACTTCCGCTTGGCCCTCCGGCACTTTCTCTTTTGTGCCCTGACCGAGTCTGCTTTAGCCCACGGCGCCTTCTGCTTATTTTTCACTATTTTAACCTTCACAGGGGCAACGGTATCCAGAACATTCAAAACACTAGAGGTGACAGAGTTAAACAGTTCATCTACAGTAGAATACGATGCATTCTCAAAGTTTATCATTTCCATAAATAGTTCACTCGTATTTTCATTTATGCGCCTTCTTCGAACAGTTGCAGAGTCCACTGGTGGTTTGTTAGTGAAACACATGTCAAAAAAAACACAGAAATGATCCGAAAGAGCAACATCGACCACGTTTACATTTGAAATAATCACCCCCTTTGTAACTAACAGATCTAGAGTGTGCCCTCTGCTGTGGGTGGGGCCACTTACGTGCTGAGTGAGATCAAAGGATTCAAGTACAGAACTCAGCTCATTTGCATTTCTGTCATCAACATTATCCACATGAATATTAAAATCACCTGTAATAACCAAACTATCAAAATCTGTGCATACAACTGAAAGCAACTCGATAAAATTATCAATAAAACTGAAATGACTGCGGTGGCTTGTATAGGACAACGAAGAGTATTGGAGGAGATTGTTTTTGTTGTATTATAAAAGACACATATTCAAATGACGAAAACTTCCCAAGAGACATTCTATGGGAGACAAAGTGGTCTCTAAAAATGGCAGCTAAGCCTCCTCCTTTTTTGTTTTCCCGTATTTCAGATTCAAACTTGAAATTTGGTGGTGATGCTTCTATTAAAACTGCATTTTCTGAATTTTGGTCAAGCCAAGGTTCAGCCATGAACATAAGATCAAGATTATGAGAACAAATAAAATTATTGATTAAAAAAGACTTGTTACAAAGAGATCTGACATTAAGCGTAGCAAGTTTCAAAGTTTCAGTATCAGCGGTTGCGGTCGGCTGATTCTTATACGGAACAAGAATTAGATTTTCCAGATTAGACTGATTAACTCCAGATGTTTTTCTGTAATGTATTCTTTGTGTTATCACTAAGGGAATGGCACAGGTGGCTTCATGACAGGGCCCCAGCCGGGTCTCTCCTCTAACTAGACTGCCAGTGGCTGCGAAGCAGAGACC